GGKATCTCTGTCAGCTGCAGAGAGCATCTGGATTTCCAAATCACACACTGCCAAGGAAAGCTGCCCCAACTACAGACCACGACTCAGACTAGAGAAAGAAAGGGAATAAGGCTGCTCTGAATCCTCCAACATCACATACCGCTAAATGAAGATGTTAGAAGGGACCAAAAACAATTAAAAAAGAAAAAAGAAAAAGCCTTCCAGAACATTCAAAGCAAGGGAAAGGAGGAGGGAGAGGGATGGGAAATCAATCATCTCCAACAACGCCCCAAACTTGCAAACTGTGTGAGCAGGGGAGATCCGTGCTTGTTCCCAAGCCATGCTTGCAGCCCAGGGGCCAGGCTGCGAGAGGAAGCGTTTGCCGACACTGCCAGTCCTGCGGCACCGCTGCGAGTGCCAGCCTGGCGCCCGTGCGGAGCGCGGCGGGGAAGGCACCCGGCCGCCCCAGCGCACACCGAGTCAAAGCGGGGACTACTTCTACACACRCTTTGGGTTCTCCTTAAAAAAGGCAGTGCAGCTTCTGGGGCACCACGGGTTCACAAACACGTTCTACGTCCCTATATGCCAGTGAGGGGATGAGAGGAAGGCCCAATCACGCCGAGTAAGGTTTGCTCTGGACTAAAGCACAGAGCGCTACTCTTGAGGCTGCCCTGCTCCGAAGCCAACAGGAACATTCCTTATTCTCCCTGTTTATGTAAGAAGCCCACCAGACATTCCTGGGCACTGGCCTCTCCCAAGCAAACAATGGGATGAGAGCTTTGCGGCTATTAAATCCTGGGAAGAAATTGGTCCAGCTTGGTCACGGCCTAACGCTGCTACCTTCTTTTGGCCGTTTAGTGGTCTGCAAAACCCACCACAAATCTCAAGAGGCTTGTTTGCACATCATTAAAGCTACCCTCAGAGTTGGCCTTCACGCTGACGGTTTCAACATGGAACTAAAGGGCTGTGCAGAGAACAGGGGAGCCCGAGGGAGACGCGCGGCCCCGCGGAGCAGGGCCCGCCAGGCCGAGGCCGCTCAAGGAAGCGGTGGGATCCAGCCCTGCTCCTCAGCCACCGCGGAAACCTCCTACCCTGCGGCACGAGCAAGCCCTCGGGAAGCACTGCGGGCTCGGGGCAGGGGTGGCAGCGCTGCCCCGCCGCTGCAGCAAAGCCCCTGTAAAGCTCCTACAGAAAGAGGATTAGAGAGCTAGAAGCGCGCGGGTGCCCGGCCAGACCAGCAAAGGAGGCTGCTGCTGCTCCAAGGGCTCGTGTTTTCACTTTTTGCTACCAGAATGCAGCATTACAGAGATATCTAAGCCACGAAATGAGACACATGGACATAAAAAGGGATCACGTGAAGAATTTCTGCAATAGAAAACAACCAATCGGACTGTGTTTTCTCCTCCAGCCACATGTTAGACTTGTAGCTGCAGGGCAGTAAATCTTCACTCTCCCCTATATGTGTGTAAAACCTGCTGGGGAAACAGGCACATAGCAAGTGTTGTGCACAGAGCCCTAAAACAGCCGCGCAGCCAGAAGGCAGCACGTCGCTTTTGCCCTTCTCACACAGGACTAAATTCGGTGGCACCCGGTGGCCAGGGCTGCCCAGCACAGCCCCCACTCCCCCTTATTTGTTATTTTTAGCAATTTAGTCTGACAACGCCTGACAACTAAACACGCCGAATATAGAGGGAGAAGCGGGAGGAGATTATCAGATATTACCAGAGAAAACACACAGCAATAATCGCTTTCTCCACCCCTAACAGAATCAATTTTCCAGGTCTTTGTAACATCGCAGAGTTTGTTCTTTTTTAAAAAGCCGCATTAAAAACAGAATGCATCGAGTCCTCCAGTGGAAACGGATAACATTTCCTGAAACAAAGCATTGTTCCACCCCTTGCATATCATGTTTCCTTAAAAACAAGGGAAGAAAAACATTACTTGGTTTTTCTCCTAATACTGCACAAACATTGCTGAGCTAAAAAGAGCCTGGGCTCATCCCTTTAGAATGCTTTCAAAATAGATTTAACACACACCCCTCGCACAGCGAAACATAACAAGAATGTGATATTATCAGGGCTGGAAAAATCCAAGCGCTGCTGCTAAGCGGGAGGCTTCGCACGCGCGAAGGGTCCGGCTGCTCTGCGTGTTCTTTGCAGGTTAGCTCACAGACTGTGCGCTTTGGCCCTCGTCCTTTCTGCACATCAGTCCTCTGGTGTTCCCAGGACACCGGTGCCGCGGTCCCACCAAAGCAACCTGCCAAGGGTTATTTTCAGTTCTGCGGAAAGACAGCGCGGGTTCTCCCGCTGCCCAGGGCTTTGCCACGCAGCAAGCAGCGGGGAAGCGGCGTCACAAAACAGGCAGAGCCTCAACTGCAGAGGAACCCAAGAGAGGGCAGCAAGAGAAGAAAAACCGAAAGCGCTCGTGGCTGCGGAGAGCCGCAGGAGGCAGAGAAGAAGCTTCTGAGCTGCAGGCAAAACCTGTTTCTGTTTTCCAAGTTCATTCAGACTTCTGTGAACTGGGGGGAACTCAGCTCCCATCTCGGAGGCTSACTGACCTCCCCATCTGCAGGCGCAGCCAGCACTCAGCGCTCTCCCTGCTGCACAAGTGGGTGCTTTACAAGAGAGCTTAGCCCTGCTCTCCAACCCTCCGGCTTACGCTTCTCTGGAAACAGGAGCGAGCTCCTGGGGAGGGTATTTCTCAAATTCAGGCCTGCATCAAAAACACACATTTCACAGTGCCTTGGCCGTAGCTCTGTCCCAGCTCATGTTACAAGAGAAACCACAGCTGGAGCTTTACACCAATGGCTTTGGTTCAACGACTCATGTACCAAGGTAAATGAGTAAGAACTGAGGTAGTCAACAGTAAAACATAAACCCTAGTTTTTACAATCCTTCCAATTTTAATTATTGTTAGAGAGAAGTTTTAGCCTATCTTGGTCTGATATTTTACTATGATGTAGTGGAAGCACAAGGTCACAAAAGTTTCACATTCCTTCCTGCTTCTGTCACAAGTTGTTTCTAGCGGCAAAATCCCCTGCTCCTTTGATAAGTGCTCCCTAACTGGGCCTCAGGTACTTCCCCTGACATCTCCGTTCCCAGGATCGGTCAGTTTGCGAGCTTGTCCTCCTCCTGGGGGGAATCCCAAGCCTAGGAACACAGTTCTCTCAAAGCTGCCAGCCAGCTGGAAACCAAATAATTAAAAGGTAGACTTGAAAATTCACATACAGCAAATCGATTTGAGTTTTGGCAATCTGAACCATATTATCTATGGTTAAAAAGAAAAACCAAACCCACAGCAACCACCTTACCACCCCACGACCTTCTGAGACGGTCAGCAGCTTCTGGGAACTTCAATTCGGTGGCCCTAACCAGAGACCCAAACAACACAGAGAACAAAACAAACCAGAGACACCCCACCACGGTGAAGCAGCCGGCTCTGAGGCTTTGTGCAGGAAGGGCAGAGGCTCTAATTTGGGGAGAGCTCCACCCGTTCTGCTAAGCACAACAAGCTGGAAGTTCAGGAGGGAAGATCCATCACCCACCGGGAACGGGAAGAGACCGAGACGTGCAGCTGAGGGACACGTGGAGCTGAAAAGCCGACCACAGCCCAATGAAACTGGTCCTCTGGGAGCTTTCAGTCTCATTCCAAACATTTCCAGCTCCAGAAATGCTGCTAGGTAGTTCCAGTCGTAGGGTGGACTTTGCTCAAAGCCATCGGCATCCTCGATGGCTCCAGCATAACCAGGACACAATTACTTTTATCACACGACAATAAAAACACCTGAGCCTTGTCTGCAGTTTTCCTCCCAAAATATTCGGCCTACCCATGCAGTACTTATTTTCCCTGTGCAGGTAATCAGAAACACAAAACCTTTTATCACCTACTACAGAAGCACCACATGCGATGTGACGTGTGTCAACGCGCTTGCCCCCGGCAACAGCCCAGCCAAGTTGAGTTTTAAGAAACAACTAGAAAAACCACCTCTACCTTTGCTTTTCCATGAACAGGAGACAAGAGAAGCATGTGGCTCTATCAGAGCACATACTTCCTAGTGTTTCTGCTTTGTCCCTAGTTACCTGGTCTGCAGCCATCTTCCTCAAAACACTAATATAGCTTGAGACAGCTTGACTCAGCTCAGCCTTTCCTCTCTCTGTCATTCCYCCAACAGTAAGAAAGAAGGCTGGTCTTAATTCTATTTTAGAGTCATTAAGAAAAAACAAGATGAACAAGTACATTCTGAACCATGCTTTGAAGAACTGTAGACTGTACACGTAGCTCCTAGAAGAGGAGTCAGCATTCACTAGGCAACTTGTTTGAGCAGATGGAACTTGTGCAGGGACTTCTTTGTATTTCCTAGATGTTCTTCTCCTTCTCGGATYTTCCAGCTAGATAAATATACGAACATGGAAGTGCCCCGACCACAGCGTTAGAACAAAGTCCTATCTCCCCCAGCATCCTGCCTTCAGCAGCAGCCACAAGCGGATGCCAGGGGCACAGGGCAAGGCATATATGGTGCTTCCTCCTAATACTTTCCCAGCCTCCAGACATTTTTAGCTCAGGGACTTCTCAAGCAGGATGTAATTTCTACATATTTGGTAATTCTCAGTGGATTTCCCTTCCATGCATTTGTACAGTTGCCTTGAAACAATGTGAATTTTTAAAATTCACAGCACTGAAGGAGTTTCACGTTATCTACCTGCTGTAAAGAACTACATATACATCATCTAGTTTTGCGGCTGGCTTTTAGTAATCTCACTTGAACCCCTCATCTCCAGCTTTCTTACYGGAACAAAGACCCAGCAATCAGTCCCTATCCACTTTCTTCACAGCACTCACAAGCTTGCAGATCTACTGAAGAAACCAAATACTTGTACATTACTTTTAACAGCCTCTGCATTGGCCTAGTCATGAACCTTCAGAAGAATACCAGACAAAAATAGCATCCYGTTGACCTTCATGTTCTATTTTCATCATATTTCTTTGAAAACAAAAACAACAACAACAAAAAATCCACTTACCTCTAATTCCTTAATTTTCTCTTCTGCTATTCTCTGTTTTTCTAAGAGCTGATTATGAATCACTCCTTTAGACTGAAGAATAAACCTACGAGGGAAACAGGAGAGACAGACAACTGTTGGATTTTTTGCATCTAACTACTGTACACCTAACTGTGCAACAAGCTAAACCACATTCCGAGCAGAGACAACCCAGAATGTTCAGGAAGAAAGAAACACAGCGGCAGAATGATATTTATGAGTTAATAAAGAACAAAGGAGAGTTATTAACTAACYGCAACTAAACTGTCTGTTGTTAAGACAACAAACTCTAGGCTTTCTTTCCATTTCTCACCTTTACCAGTCCTGCATCCTCATTACGGTCGTTAGCCTTGGAGGAAGATGCGTTGTACAGCACTGACCCACAGCACAGGAGGCCCTTGGTGATGCAGACAAGGCAGCGGAGGGAATCGCTGTGCCCTGGGGCTGCCCTGTAACGTTTGCTCACTAATCTCACCTCTTATTTTGGAGGAGGAAAATGAATGTACAGAAATTTCCAGTCCCGATTCACAGTCCTCGCCTTCGGCGACACAACATTTCTGAAAGCCGTCCCTCGCACAGCCAGCAAAGGGGATCACACACCGACCAGACACCAGCCCAAGAGGTCTTCATCCGTGAACCACRTGTAGCCAAGAAGGCCCCTTTCTACTGGTAAGAGTCACACATTACTGCTTTAATGCTCACGTATTAAAGCTTTGCAATAAAGCCAACACTTGCTATAGACTGCACTGCTTTCACCACAGAAAACGGCAGGTGACCCGTAACGTGACTGAGCTATCACAGCCCCAACTGGGTTTTGTTTTTTCAAAGTTGCCAAAGAGGATTTGGGAGATATTTCCACAACATCCTGGTCAAAGCTGTCCAGCTAGATGGCAGGCAAAACCTGGACCTTATCCACACATACAAATTCCTGAGGGGAGAATGTAAAGGGGATGGGGCCAAACTCTTCTTGGTGGTGGCYAGTGACAGGACAAGGGGTAATCGGTACAAATTAAAACCAGTTCCATCTCCCTATGAGGAAGAATTTCTTTACCATGAGGGTGACAGAGCCCTGGAACAGGCTGCCCAGGGAGGCTGTGGAGTCTCCTTCTCTGGAGGTCTTCCAAACCCACCTGGATGCRACCGGGTGTCCTGTGCTCTGGGTGTCCCTCCTGGAGCAGGCAGTTGGACTAGATGATCTCTAGAGGTCCCTTCCAACCTCAACCATTGTGTGATTCCGTGTCCAGTATGCTCAGAGGAGCCTTTGAAAGAACAACAACATCCAAAGCAGTTCTCGGCACGTGGCTCTGGCACCCCCCGGAAAGGTAAACCACAAGTAGCTTCAACTGAATTTTAAGACCCCTTCACAGCTGCCCTTCCAAGAGCACGCGAGCTGCGGATTAGCCCCTTCCCTAACATCCTCCAGGGGGATTTAGAAGGAGCTTCCACACGTCACTGCAGYGAGTTCCCTCCCAGCACTAACTCCTCTCGGGGCCCATGTCTTTGTGCCAGGTGACAAGAGCTTTAGACGGTGCAGAGTGAGGCTGCATCTCCCCCCACGTGGGACGTTACTAAGGGGCTGACTCAGAGCCTGCAAGGTGCTCAGGGAGCACAAGCCAGCACACGCTGCACTGCTGACGCGAAAGCCAAAGGAGAACTGTGCTATATCCACCCCGGACACACACGGGAGCAGAGCCGGGGCTAATTATAACACATTGCCAATTAACACTCTTCTGTGCTTCTATTAACTGCATTTTGCARTGCCTCCTCCTTGGCCCACTTCCCTCCCAGATTCCCATGTACCTTCTCTTTTCCACACTCATTGGCGCTGTTTCTCTTTGTAATTTTCCCAAATCTTGCCTCAGTCCCTTCCCAGCCCTCTCAGATCGTGCTGATTCTTCATATTTGCTCCTGTTCATCCCTGCTCACTCATACTATTTCTCCTTCGATCCTTTCCTCTTAAATCAGAGACGGAAATGGCTCTCCAGGACCTTCCCATTTGCTTCCCCACGCCATAGAATTGACAATCTTGGTTTCACTGACACCCTCAAGACAAAATAATGGCATTAAAAACTGGCATAATTTAGATCAATTTTCCTTTTTTCATCCCCGGGTAACTTGAGAAATCTCCAACGATTTACACGGCACTGAAGGCATCTCCGCAGGCTCTGGGAGCGCCGCGGGGCACGGGCGCACTCGCAATGAATAAGTCGCTGACTTAACTTCTATTCTGCAAATGTCAACAGCGGCCATCTGGGAAAATATCCTCCCTCCCACCCTTCCGCACTGCTCTCACAGACCTGCGGCAGCAAATTAAAAAAAGGACGGCTGATGTCAGCACCGACAAGGCTCATGTGGGCAGCGTGGCACCAACGCTGCAGGCCCCGGCCGCTTCGCCGCGGGACAGCGGCCGCGCCGGGCGTCAGCGCCCCACCAAAGCTTTGCATCAGGAGCAGCTCCGAGCCACCCGCTCTCATTTCCTGCCACAGGAGTGCCAAGTGCCCAGCCTTGCAGCTGCGCTTTTCCAAAGCTGAATGTCTAAACCACATCCAGCTAATTAAATCCATGGCCTCACTCTGCAACACGCTCGGGACAGCGCGGCAGCCTCCAGCTCCGGGCACGGTGCTGCCGTGGCGGCGACGGGTGTGCGGTTCGACTTGGTCATCTTGAAGGTCTTTCCCAACCATGATGGCTCTTTGATTCTATATCCTTCCAGATCTCGGCCAAAGCTTTTTACCTAGGGAAATGCACGGTTTATGGCAATGATGGCAAAAAGCAGAAGCCCATCTCATTTGTCACAGGSCATTTGCAATAAGTCAGAGTTCGTCTTATCTGTGTTTCATTATTTCAATTAATCTGACTGTATATATATATACATATATATATATGTATAAGTAAAAAAAAGCAGACTCCTTTCTTCCTCCCTCACAGATGTGGGAAGGAGCTATCATTCCACCATATCGTTTTACCCAAGCTCAGTTATTTTGTCTGCAAGATTTTAAGCTCCTGAGAGAGCCCCCGTGGGTGTTGAGCTCCAAATCCTTCCCAAAGCGAGACTATTTTCCCAGACGTGCCCGGGCAGGGCTGCTCGCTGCGGGCAGCCCGGGCCAAAGCCGGCGCCCTGCTCAGGACACAGCGTCGCAGGGCTCAGGTGCCACTCGCTGCTCTGTGAAGCTGAACTTGTCCTGTTATACAGGGATTATAGGGAAGACACAAAGGCCTTGGGGCAGCACCAAAGAGTTACTCAACCAACCGTTCGGCCAGTGCAGCAGAGTCCAGGAGGCCCCGAGCTCGGCGTTCATACACTCAGCTAGGCTGGCTTTAAGTACCCATAGTCTGGCGAAGAAAAACAAAAAATAAAGTTATCCGGGAGGAGACTTGCTTTACGGTGACAGAAGTGAGAAATGAGCTCGCTTGTCTCCTCCTGCAGCAACAAGGCTTAAGTACAAACAGAAATTCTGAAGCACACACCAATATCCTAGGCTATCAAATGCGACACAATGAAGCAGAAGAAAGGTTTTCAYCACCACACTAATTGCCAAGCTCAGTAACAGTCCCCTTTCAACACAAGAACTTTTCACACTGTTAAATAACAGAAATATCTGGCTCGTAACAGAGGGAGTCACGAAGTCTCAGTGGTCGCGCACTTAAAAAGGAGTGGTGAATAACAGCAGGGCACCTCTTTGCTCCACTCTTGAWACCTCACACAGAGGTACAGAAGTGAAAACTCCAAACCAAGCAACGAAAAGTAGGTTACAAAGAAATGGGCTTCTCCAGGACAGCAGCATCCAGCCAAATCCGGGCTTTGGAAGTAGTTCTTTGAGGCACTGAAGTATTTTCCAACTGGCTGCATCCACACACTCAAATCTCCCACCGGCTGCTGCTCCTGAGCTGTGAAGAAGGGAACTGAAAGAGAAACCTCACTCTAAACATTCCCACTTGTTCCTATCTTACTCCCTGCAGCCCTCTGCTAGCTCCCCACCAGACGGTTCGTTCCACCAAGACAAGGAGTGACATACAGTCTCTTTATGAGACTCATTGCTTTCTTCCTTCCGAAAATATCTCTGACCCCTTCCCCACTTTAAGTTTCTAGATGTGGCGCCCTATTTGTTAAATATTTATACAGCCCAGCCAAAAGGGTCTGCAGGCTCCAGTCCCCGGSTGGCAATGGTATCAACTGCATCCTCTGTCTGCTCCTTCCTATCACACGTACACACCCAGAGTGATGTTTGCCGAGGGCAAGTAATTCCATAACTCAAGCTGTTTATGCCAAAACGCACTGTTTATTTGACTGTAAAGCATAATATTAGATACTGAAGCATTCGTCTCGCAAGGAATGAGGTTATGGAGATATTTGTTCAGCACAAGCCAGCCTGTGTACTATGACGTGCCAGTTATTACAGGCCGAGTCACCACGAAGCCCATAATTCAAGATTTTTCCATCAAGAGTCCCTATTTTAATTGCTTGCAACTTCAACATCTTTAATCTTTACAGCTGAAACTTACAGCATCTGTCTCCAAAACCAGCACTTTATTCACTTTCTTCCTGCTAAGATGGTTCAGGTRTTTGTAAGAAGGAGAGGAGCAAGAGGCACTTGGCCAACAGCTTTACATATGATTTGCTCCCGTTTCTTTGGGAAGCTTTATTGCTTCCACACTCTGAAGTGACAACCTGAGTCCAAGGGGTGCCTCCACAGGCCCCCAGGAGACCCTCACCTTCTACTGGCTGCAGGTGGGAAGGCTCCAATACTGTTTTTCCAGAAAGATGATGAATTACAGATCTAACCATCCATTTGGCTTCTGTTCACACAAAGATTACTATAGCTTCAGTTCTACAGACAACGGAGCTTGGGAAACTGCATGCGGAAGAGTAAATTAAGACACTGAAAAGAAAAACAGATTCCTCTGTGCAAATCCTTAGTATTCTTTTAGCACATTTTTTATAGTTAAAAATAATCACCCTTTAGTGTTATAACACAGCACAGCCATTTAGATTCTATACATTGCTTCTTGAAACCGAGCGTTTATATTAGACGAGCGCATGTGAAAAGTTCAGCTAAGCCCAGTCAT